TTTTCGTTTTATCAAATCATAACCGTACCAATGACTTTCAGTAGAGTACAAAAGTTTTGGTATTTATTAAAATAATAACCCAGACCGCGCCTAGTCCGGTGGCGTCGGTGCGTATATCGCCAGCCCGCACCTTGTCCGGCGGACACGCTTCGCTTCTAGCAACGGCCGCCACCACCTCCTCAGAGGTCACGGAGTCGTCCAGGCCAGCAATCCGCACCTCTGTGGTTTTCACTGGTCTGGAGACCCGGACGTCCTCAGGGTTGAGGACCTCCCTCATCTTGGCGGCCAGTGCGTCCGCCTTTTCGGCACTGCCGCTCACAGTACCAGCCACATCGAACAGCCGCGCATCCGTGGCAGCCTGCCTGAGGGTGACGGAGCTAGGTTAATTTTGAATTCTTATTGCGGCGTGGTGTTTAATATCGAACGAAGGAACTTAGTTGTGTTTGTAACGCTGAACCGTTTGACTTGAATGTATAATAGAGATAATATTAATTAACAACTATATTTTTAAGAATTTGTATGAATGAATTAAATTAAAATTTCAGGTAATTGAAAAACCTACAACTAACTCCTTATTAACGGAGTGGAGAATATTTAAAAATGTTTGATCATCATTCATATAACAATATAGTTCTTATGCATCATCTCGCGACCCGGAAACCCAGCGCCGGATACAAGCTTTTTTCTACACAAAAACGAAGTGATAGTCAAAGGGCGGATAGTTTTTATAGGCACCTGTCTCCATGGGAATTCGTGTGGGAAAAGCAAAAAATAACAGATTTCATTTACGTAAGACTGGATAACGCATGATACTTACTTGCCCTCACATTTTGGAATAATTTTGTATTGTTTACATTAAAGGTTACTGTAATAATTGTTTAATTAGTTATACTATTTAAACGCACTTAATAGCACAATTAAGATGTTAATAAAATTACAGAATGGTACTTCTAACTAGTTATCAAAAACTTAAAAAAAGCATAAAATGTTGCAGACTCATAATGTTTTTATATGCGAACCTCATCATGTGAAGTAACTTCCTTCTAAACGTTAAATACCTAGACCCTATATTTTTATCGTAATAGGGTAAGTATATTTCTACGAATGTGTGGATAAATATAAAACCAAAACTAGGAGGACAGAAACACAAAATCGTATACTATATCTAATATATTAAGAAAACAATAGCAAGCTTTGGCAATCATTAAGAACAATTCGAAAATTAACTTAAAAACCTAACTACAATACTACAAAAATATTTACTATAATGTCGACTGTCAAAATGGCGTCGAATAAAGCAGCGCCCTTTTGACCCTTTATTATTTCATTGAACGATCGACGAGCGTAAGAGCTATCGTATCACAGAGCCATCAATGCAAACAAGGCTGTAGTTTTAACATATTAACCGGATGACCATATTAGCCTCACGTACTACATAATTATAAACAAGATGGTTAGGTGATATTCAACGGTTGTATCTATCTATCTATCTATCTCTTTATCTATTACAGCCCATTAAAGTCCACTGCTGAACATAGGCCTCCCTATAGATTGCCTCATAGGTTGGATTCTGCCATAGTTACAAAGCTTGGCAGGCGGGTTTGGCAACCGCAATTTTTTTTACTACTCAGTTTTCAGGAACATGCTGCTGCCTATCTCCTGTTTCAGTTTCCCTCTGTCACCTCTTAAGAAACCCACTGGCCGATGACATACCTAACTTAAGAATTTATAATGTTTTTAAAATGTTGCAATAGCATAAAATAAAAATATACCCTTATCATTGTTTGTGCATACCAGACGTGGTAAAAATGTCTTGTTTAGGAAATTAAGTTCATGGAACTTTTACTGTGTTAGTTTATGGAGCGATCACGATGATAAAGCCCGTACTGGTGCAGTGTAAGAGTATATGACGAGAGGTCAGGGGTTATTGGAGGTCACTCGAACACTTAGTGGTAAAATCATAAATGTTTTTCAATAAGTATTTTTGCCATCTATATTGAATAAAAATTATTCATATCTATTCTTATGCACACGAGATCATGAAAATGCATAGAATTTAGTGGCATATAATATATTCGTATGACAGTCAAAATCAGACTGTCTACCTGTGTGTGTCGGAAAACGGATCATCTCGTACAACAATCGGAACAATAAAGAGGGTTTTTAAATAGACCTGCTGTGTAAGATTAAAACTAAAATATATTTTTATACTTTTGACAAGACCGCGTTTGTGGTCACCCTACTGTAATAGATTATATCCTTAATCCGGCAGGAAGGAAGTCGGCAGACGTCATAAGCGCGTTCTCACGCCTTAGTAAGCGTAAAACACATGAAATTGTGTTTGTTTTTGAGAAAAATGTTTTATTTTGCGATTTGAAATTTATATTTGTGATGAGTATGTTCTTAATTATTATAACAATTGTTATTTTCATGAACACTATTGTGCTGAAATGTTTTAAATGTGCTATTGCTGTAGTTGATTTTTTCAAGTAATATTATGTACCTACTTAAATACCGCATTGTAATAATTTATTTTATTTTATTTTAAAGAGGTGCATGCTGTAGCTCCATCTGTACTTACTAGGTACTTAGTCGTAAGCAAATTCTGTTACTTTGTAAGAATGCATTCAACACTTAATGGTGGCCTAAAATAAATAATATATTAAGATATACCTGTAGGTGGCTTTTGTTCATAAAGTTAAAAATTCTTTTATCTAAGAGATATTAATCATCAACTTTTCGGCTTTTCTAAGTCCGTGGATGAAACTCGTTATGTAGCATATTTTTTATACAAATATAAAACAATAATTTCTTCATAAGCATATCTAATGTTTATTACTATAAGACTCCTGTTCTCCATTCAACTTTGACATGACAAGATGTAATAACGGGATGCTAATTGTTTAAAAAAGTTCTCACTGCACGTCCCCCGCTATTTTACACATCAACGACACACATATTATAATTCACTTTTCATTAACGTCGTCACGCGATCGCATGCTGTCGTCTATCGTTGCAAGTGGATCAGCTTGACCACCTCGTTGACGTTTACGTACATACATGGCAGTAATATTTAGGCAATTTTAAACGTTATAATTAGGGAGTAAAGTTTTGCATTTTGGTCCTGAAAGTAAATAGTTACGTGACGTTGTTCGAAAAGTTTTGACAATTTCATGTATGCGTTCCATAAATTCTGTAAGAGCATTTATGTTTATCAAATAAAGCACATTTTGCTTTGATTCAAAAACTAAACTTTTTGTTGGTTTTTAGTAACTACCGTGGGAGAATGTAAAGACCTAATTAAATATTAATAGCGCATACAATAAAGGTATGTCGGGAATAGGGAGACGGTATAAAGGTCACTGTTACACCTGGTATATTTATCGGTTACTTTAATATTCTTTTAGATAGAACTTTTATGTTTGTGATAAAATTTTCTTTAGATTATATCGGTATGGCTGTTAATATATCTACTAATTATTATCATTTAATAACAGATTTGTAATTTAATTATATTATAATTTAAAATAATGAAAAATTAAATACTTATTTATTTAATTTTTTCATTCTCTTTTTTTTAATTATAGTGATTAGTGATAGTAAAATTGAAGTGTATTTTTAATCGAGATATTATGCAGGTATTGTCAAATGTCTATACTTATTTTTTTAATTAAATAGATGTGTAATATTTTATTATGGTGTATAACAAATATAGAAAAAATAAGGTAAATAAATATACAAATACTCTTTATATAAATAATATATATACATAATGGTGTCAATGAATTTATGTAAAAAATAACGATCCATTGTAGTGCGTAGTGCAGTACAAATAAGCTCACCTCACCTCACCTCGTCGAACCCTTGCATCGCGCATTCCCACACACCGTGAGAACACTCACACCGCGTACATCAAGTACGAAGTAAAGCTGACTGCAAGTTACCGTAAAAACAGCATACTTTACACCCGCCGTTCACGGTACATTGCGTCCGTATGGCATCATGCCATCTCGCAAATCTCATACAGCAAATAAAATGAGATGTACATAAAGCTCGATTTACATAATATGAAAAATCATCGATATATGTATGATATATATTTGTCGTTACAAAATAAAGCACGGGTTTAAATTATTGTAATTTGTTGTGCGCGTATAGGTATGATGTACCTATACAATCGCACATTCCCATACTGAACAGGAAGGGAGGCCTGCATGTAGCTTCACTCTTTTTATTAATTTAGTACATTACTTTTCTGATTATTAAATATGTATTTGGCTAATGCTAAAATGACACTTATAAAACAGTTCGAAAGATTGAAAACCTAATTTAATTTTAAGCTATAAAAATAATAATTTATATTTTTAATGTTTACGTAGAAAATATACCTATTAAATAGAGCAATAATATTTTCAATTTTACTTATGGCTTATGAAATCAAATAAAAGTCCAATTTAATAAAATTCTATGGTCTAATATGAATAACTAAAAGCAAGAAATAATAATAATTTAATATAAACAAATGTAAGCATTATGAATACCTTATATTAATAGAATAATTGTTCACCTATTACTTATTATTATTATAATATTGCATTTCATTCTAGGTTTAAATTTAATATTGTAAATATTAAATTGTAAATATTAAATTTAAACCTAGAATCGAATCTAAAACTACCTATATTTTGAACCTACACAGCTATCGGTCATCGGCACCATTCACAACTGGTTCTAAAAAAGAGTGAGACAGAACGAAAACAAATACATTCCGACACAGTTCCCATCGTATTAACCCCTAAGTTGAAAAGGGATGTGAACTGTTAGCTATTTCGTTTTACAAGTAGGGTCAAACGGGAAGGAGGGCGAATTATAATTTTTATACTACGGTCGTGTACAGGATTCTTATATCTCCTTCGAACGTTATCGGGGACACACGTGTGGAGTCCTTCGTACCCCCGAAGGACTTTAGTAGTTGTGCGAAATTTTTTAAGAAAATTAAAATGCCGTGCAGTGAAGATGATGACTCCCAGACCGGGTTCCTGTCTGAACCTACACAAGGGATGTCGAAGGCCGAACTCCGTAAGGTATTAATATGTGCCATTATAACAAAAAATACGCGAATTTGCATTGCAGTGTTTGAAAATTATAAAATAATTCTAAAATAATCAGCAAACAATGTTTAGTGCGATAAGTGATTTTATTTTTAATTTCAAATTCAAATTAGGATCTTAATATAATGATTCGTGTAAAAATGTGACAAATCGTTGGATAGTATGACTGTGCAATTTAATTACTTTCACACTAGTACATTTTTGAAAAAAAAAATATTGTGCAATTATAAAAATACTTTGAGTGTTAAATCTATACAAATAAATAAAATTGAAGTGTCTATTTGTAATGCCAAAATAACATATTTTTTTTCTCGATGCATATGAAAGTATATACCTACGATACTAATAACAAAACAAACTATTTTTAAATTTTTTGTCTGTTTGTCTGTTTGTTCCGGCCAATCTCTGAAACGAGTGAACTGTTTTGACGGGACTTTCACTAACAAATAGCTGATATTATACGTAGTATCTTAGGCTACTTTTATTTAAAAAAAATAATTAGGGTTCCGCGCAAAAAATGAAAACCCATAAAATTCATCATCAATTGTAATAAATTCCACACGGACGAAGTCGCGGGGTACGGCTAGCTTATAACAAAAAGTTTTAAAGAATTAATGTTACTTTTTAGACAAACAAGCCGATTATGGAGAAGAAGCGACGTGCGCGCATCAACCACTGTCTCAATGAACTTAAAGAGCTCCTGACAGACTCTATGGATAAAGACGTATGTATCTATTTTACAAAAAAAAATTAAAAACAACTTCTATACAATTAAACAAGCCCAATTAATTCACCTCTTGTCCGATTGACCTATTATGTCATTTGCTAGTTGCAATAAAATAGTCACTTGAGCAGGATAGTATATAAAATATTGAAATCCGTGTAGTGACGACGTTTATGATCATGATTATCCATGTCGAGGGTGTCGTAAGGTCCAACAGAGGGAAATGAAACAGGAGATGGACAACAAACTGAGGTTGCCAACCCGCCTGGCAATCGTAGCAACTATGGCAGATATGGGGAAAACTGTCCAAGAAATTGAAAAGTTTAAAATCATGTACTCCTAAGTTATAAGAAGAGTTAACAAGTTTTGTTTTATAGGATAGGGTGACAAACGAGCACACAGTCCACCTGATGGTAAGTGGTTGCTGCGGCCCCACATCTACATCTATCTTCGATTACGAATCAAAATGCAGATGCGTTGTCACCTGTGGGGAATAAGATGGAATGGATCGTTTCCAGTAAAACAAGTCTCCGGTTCTCTACACTCACCATACGAAACACAGCAGCGTTAAGCTGGCTAATAGTAATAGTGGCTTAGGTAATGCTGCTGTCTTCATATGGTAAGGGATAGGAACTACAGACTCTTTTTCTGGTTTCTGGATATTCCATCATAATCCTTACATGACAACTTCCTTACGTGACAACTTACAACGTATCTGATTTTACGTGGTAGAGCCATGCTGCAGCTATATTATGGTTGTTTCGTAAAACATGTATGGTAGAGCCATGCTGCAGCTATATTATGGTTGTTTCGTAAAACATGTATTGTAGAGCCATGCTGCAGCTATATTATGGTTGTTTCGTAAAACATGTATGGTAGAGCCATGCTGCAGCTATATTATGGTTGTTTCGTAAAACATGTATGGTATAGCCATGCTGCAGCTATATTATGGTTGTTTCGTAAAACATGTATGGTATAGCCATGCTGCAGCTATGGTTGTAGCACGAATGGGTCGGCTCGACCTGGTTGGGACCACGCTTTCACAGAATACTAGCGTAAAATAGCAGCTTAATGCTGCTGTTTCGTATGGTGAGTGTAGAGAACCGGAGACCCTTTTTACTGGAAAAGACGCATTCCATCTCAGTCCTCAAGGGTGACAACGCATCTGCATTTTGATTCTTAATCGAGGATAAATTTAGATGTCTATGGACCACAGCATCCACTTACCATCAGGTGGACTGTGTGCTAGTTTATCACCCTTATTCTATAAAAAAAAAATGTTTTTTTAATGCGAGTTAAAATAAAAAAAAATTAAATTATATAAAAAAAAGGTTTTAATGGGCTTACAACAGACATTATCAGGTGAACTGTATTCAACTGTCATTTTTATTACTATAAAAATCCCCCTTAAAGCTTTATTCTAGGACCCTGGAATTTTTTTATATTATGCTGCAAAATATTACATGATTTATTAAATAAACATTTTTAAATCTTTAGCAATATGGTTTTAAATATTTGTATTTATTTACAGCCAGCACGTCACTCCAAATTAGAAAAAGCTGATATCCTCGAGATGACCGTGAAACACCTGCAGACGTTGCAGCGCCAGCAGTTAGCCGCAGCAATAGCAGCCGACCCAGCCGTGTTGCAACGCTTCAAGTCCGGCTTCGGCGACTGCGCTGTTGAAGTCGGAAGATACCTCTCTCGACTTGCTAGCGTACCAACTGGATTGAGATATCGATTAGGGAACCACTTGAATACATGCCTCTCTGATATTGAACGACTTCATCCGGCCGACTATCCACCTCTAATACCTGACCCTCTTAGACTGGACGGCGAAAGACCAAGCGCGTTTCATTACGTGAAATCCACCAAGCCTACTAGCCCACCGTTAAGTCCATTATCATGTGACTCTGCTTGTGATTCGTCTACAGAACTAGAAACACCACCTCGACCGGTACAAACCTTTCCGTTCCCCACGCCACCGAGCAGATCTGCATCCGATCAGGATTCGAGTCCTGAACAGAAGTCTATAGTATCTTCCACAACGATATCCCCTGAAAGTCTCCAGCAAGAATCTCTGAAAACTAAAAAGGTTATGGAGCCATTGTCCATTGTTATAGACGTCGAAAATTATAAAATCGGTATAGATGCGTCTCCCAAAAGAGCAGTAGACTACTCTTTGAGGCAGAAACTAAAAAGACCGTCTGACACAATAGGTCCCGTTCCAAAGTTAATACGGTTAGAACCGGAGCGGAGGATTTTAAGCCCCGGAAAAGTACAAAGTGTGGAAAGTAGAGTAATTTTAAACAGATCCAACAATGTATCAGCATTCAGAAGAATACCGGAAAAAACACCAACTGTTCCCGAAAGGAAACTAACAGTACCTGACAGCATACCAGCTGTGATCGAAATACCATCATTTGAAAGATTAAATCAGTTACAAAGATCTGTCATTAGTCATACCGCGGAATCGTTGGCTCAGTCGAGTACGTCAAAAATTAATCAACAGGAGAGTAAAGAGAAAACTGAATCGAGTACTAGTTCCAAATCGCCTGTGCAAGGCACATCAAGTAGTACAGAAATGTGGAGGCCGTGGTGACCGTAATGGCGACGGATATGCGTTAATGATCTCAATTGTTAACAATGATGCAAATTAAAGAGGCAAAAAATATTCTTACCGTAATAGAATTAAGATATACTGTATATTGAAAATTCAAAAAATTTTGACGGTGCTATATTGTTTTTGGACTTCGAAAAAAAATGAATGAATGTTATAACATGTTTATAAATATATTATAACAAACTATGCAATTTCAGAAATTTTAGTTCTGTTGAATATATCAAGCAGTGTACATATTGTCGTCGATTTACAATAGTATAGAAGTGTTCATTGTTGCAAAAGAGTACCTACCTATAGCTTTAATAATTTACCTGATCGGTATATTGATTTTTAAGTGTTTTATTAAAATATATCTTTATCTTATTTAATCGTGTTCCTGACCTTATAATATATTGTTATAAATTATTAAAAAATGACTGCAGTATTGACATTAATTTAATTTAAATAACAATCAGCAGTTTCCAATGGGAATTATAAATTAATCTTAGATTTATAGTAACGTAGGTAAAATGGATTTTTTTTTTAAGTAATATTGAGTCATTGCAAAAATCAATCTAATTTATGTTAAATACAAAGCACAAAGTATTGAAGTTGTGCCATGACAATATCAATTAAGTACTTAGCCCAAATTAATTTCACAGATTTTATGAGAATATGTCGAAGTGTATGGTAGTGGCAGCGTAATCCTTTTCTTATCCTGTGGGTTTACTAAATAAAAGGAAAAGCAAGTCTTGTGGTTTCCGATGGAGGGCGGAATATCTTTCCCGTATAATAATAATAATATCCTCCGATTTTAATAACCGAATTTTGGTCACGGCGGCCAAATTCAACAAAAACTTAGCCATCTGCGCAAGACTGGATTATAATGTACTATTTTACGAGTGTATGAGCACAGGTTTACTCTATTCCCTTACTCTCATAATTTAAATTGACGGCAAACTGACACGACCGGAGAGAGATCAGGCGCAGGGCCAACGACTTTACGAGCTTTCCAACGCACCAGGGTGAAAAACCGCCAACTTCCTGACTCCGGAATGCTAGGTACTGGGAATATCTTGATAGAAAATCACAATAAGTGAATTTGACCAGACTTGGAATTCTAACGCAGGGCTCCTTGATCCACGACTACCAGACCTACGAGGCAGTCAAATTACCTTCCCGTATGTTCTAGACCTGAAATATAAAGACCGGGCTGTGCGGAGAAACGTGCGAAAGCTACTGCGATCGCAAATCAGTATGCTAAGTGTGACGATCATGGTTCCTTTCCACTTTCTGAGAGGTCTATATCTATACTTTTAATGGGTCGATAATGAAGAAGAAAAAGGGGGACGGTATATGCCTTCTGGAGAGGACATAGTAACCTTTCTTGATGAGCAGTACTCATGCCTCGGCAGGATGTGCGGTTTACACAACGCTCAGTGCGCAAAGCAGTCCTCTCCCCGGACGTTAACAAGGTGAGTGGATCTGATGGATTTTCCATCAACCGTGGCACTGGCAGAAGACGCGTGCTCTGGTGAAAAACGTCATTTGCCATACACAGCGCAACGAAGCCATTTTTATTGCCTATCATTGCAGCTGCACCATCAGTAACTATGGCAGCTAACTTTTTTAATGGTAACTGACTTTCCTCTGCAAAGTTTTACAAATGCATCGTAAATACCTTTACCTTGTGTGCGAGCCTTGAGCGGCAACAACTTGAAAAATTCTTCCTTTGTTGTAAAATTATTAAATACCATTTTAATACCCTTTTATTAGCTTGGTATGTATCTATGTGACGGAATTTGCGAATGTGATTTTCGTCCCCTTCAAAACGTCGGATTGATTTGAAATTTCAACACTCTTATCAAGTACCGATGACAATACAATAATTTAAATAGTTTGTTTCTTTGCCCTTGCCAGGATCCTCAGGATTTGCGAATAATTCATAAAACAACTACGATTTCGAGGTACCAAGGTACGATTTCGATAACGAGGTAGAAAATAATTTTCAATAAGCTTAAAATAAGAAAATAGTGATTAACATAAAAATTCATTCTATTGTAAAAAAGCACACTTTTTTGGGTGGCTATAGGCGCGGAGGGAGAGAAGCTCCCGCCCGCTGTAACAAATTGCAGGCATCTGTGCGAGCCGTCATAGCGACTGAATCTGTCAGTCACCGAAGCTGCGGAGGTAGGGAGGCTTCCCCAGAACTCTCTTCCTCCCCTCACACATTCTCACCGCAGTACGCAAGTACCAGATGTCTATAGTTTTACCATTTTCAGAAGACCTAAAATTTGCATCTGCTTTGTTCTGAATAACGACTTTAATTTTATTAGGGGCGCCTTGTCATTGGCTATACTTAACGCAGCATCTAATTAGCACTTAATTCCTTGCTATTCATATTTATCGTATATTTATTATTGTCTCTACGTTGCTTAAGTTTTGCCAGCAACGCAAATTTCAACTGTTTATTACGGTAAAAATTTTAGAGCTATGTGCTCTAAAATTAAGCATTCTTTAAACTTAGCAGCTAAAACCCCCTAATTTTGGCTTTTTCTAAAGGGCGAGACACAACTTCCTTAAATCCATACTGCGATGCAATTTTTTTTAATTCTTAATACGGGTTTAATACGGGTAATTTTTTAATATATAGCACGAAGTCACGCCATGTTAACGTTCACATTATATAGTTGCTGCCTGACTCTATAACTAAGTATATGGCTTCTCGGAGTTCTCTAAACCCCATAAACAGGTGCAGAGAACAAGGCTAAGCACCGCGCGCGTCCTCGGGTTGCGGATAGGGGAATGGCCCGGCCTGCCTGCGAACAGAATCATGAGATGACTTTCTGCACAAGGGCGTAAAGGGTTAGTAAGACTGATAAGGAGAGTGAATGCCGTAACAATCGGAAAAACTCTTCGAAAAACTTGCCGCGGACAAGCTTAGAGGAAGGAAAACCTCTTCAAAAACCAGTTTTGCCCAAGCTAAGGTGTAAAGATAATCGTGCCGATAGCTGAATGGCAGCAGATCGAAAGATACTGTCGCAAACGATTTCCCTTGTACCACCTAGCGCCACTTCATTGTATTTAAGTCGCCTTAACGCCACATGCCGACTCTGTGGCGGCGGATTTTTACTTCCGAGCATGCTCGTGGGAATAGTATGGAAGAATCAAATTTAATAAACAAACAAGGAGACAAGACAGGAGAGGGTGTTGGACCGGCGAACGTACCAGTAGAATAGGTAAAACGCGACGAGGCGATCAACAAAGAAGATCGTCTACTAGGAGAGTTAAAAAAGTAGTTAAAGAGACGCTACGCACAATCAAAGCTAAGCGTACAGTAGCGACGAAGGATACGAGACGAGTGAAGGACTTTCAAAGGTTGCTTCTCGAGTCCTTTATCTACAAAAAGGAGTGGAAAGAAGCGCAGATAAAACTACAGAAGCGCTAAAAGAAGCGATAGAGAAGTAGGTTCTGTACAATGTAGAGCAGAAAACCAAGACTTCCCAAAAAGAAGCGGAGGCCACTCCGGACAATACGAGAAAAAAGGGCTGGCATCAAATCCATCACAGAGTCCCGAAAAACGTGCAGTAATACGGGTAATAACGGCGAAGTTCATGTTGTCTCAAAAGTCAAGAGGAAACGCACTGCTGAGAATACAAGCAGGGCGATAAAAATGCTGCAGGACAACAACCACAATAGCAGCAACACCAGCAGAGATAGCAGCAGCAGCAGACAACAGAGCCGGAGCTGCAGCAAAACAGCCAGAAATGTCACAAGCTCTGTTTACAATGGTGGAATCCAAAAGGAAGAAAACGAAGAGGAAGAAGACTACATTGGTGGATTTTAACAGTGGTAGAGCCACGCGGCAGCTTTTGCTGTCGCACGGATGGGTCGGCTCGAACCGGGGTAGTACCACGACCTCACAGAAAACCAGCATGAAGTAGAGGTTTACCTCTGCGTTTCGCTTGGTGAGTGCAGGTGGCCGGAGGCCCTTTTTACTGGAAATGAGGCATTCCATCTTAGTATTCACGGGTGACAACGCATATACATTTTGATTTGTAACAGAGGATAGATGTAGATGTCTATGGGCCGCAGCAACCACTTACCATCAGGTGGACTGTGTGCTCGTTTGTCACCCTTATCCTATAAAAAAAAATCAGGAAACGATGACGGAGCCAGCAAGACCAGAATCAGGAACACAACGACCGGAGGCAGTGCTGATAAACCCAGGTGAGGGCAAATCTTCTGGTGAAGTTCTGAGATTTCTGCGCTCGGGGCTTCAACCGGAGGATTTGGGCGCAGTAGTAAAAGCCACAAGGACTGCCAGAAAAGGTGGTCTTCTTATCGAGTTCGAGGGACCTGTCAAAAATCGCTCGACACTCGGAAACAAGATCACCGAAGCAGCCGGAGGTCAAAGTTTAAAGTGACAATCATGCAACCCAATGAATGGGGTACCCTCCGCACCTATAACGAGGCTGGACTCGAGGCTGCTGCGGCTTTGGAGATATTAGGAAGGGTCGAGGTTGGCTGGTTGAGTTGCCGAGTCTGTCGTTGGGAGCGACTAGACCGGTGCTACCGATGCCATGGTTTGGGCCACTTTGCGGGCTCGTGCAGGGCAAAAGAGGACCGCAGCAGTTGCTGCTGGTGGTGCGGGGAGGCGGGTCATTAGTTGAAGGCCTGTACCAAACCCCCGTACTGCCATCTCTGTGCAGCGGTAGGGAACGGGCGATCCTCAGAACACGTGATGAGTTCTGGACGTAATGCGTCCTTTCGGGAGGCAATCCAAAAGAAAAATAGCTAAGGTGCTGCAAACAAACCTTCAGCGATGCAGACTGGCTCTTGATCTGCGCGACCTGAAACCGCGACCACAGAGCAGATATTGTTTTGATTTCGGAGCAATACCACTCAGCGTCCGGATCAAGCTGGCTGTGTGACCCTTCCGGAACAACAGCTATTTGGATCCCGGACCGGGGTCGCTTTCCCGTGCAATCACACAGTGGATCGAGAGACGGCATTGTATGGGTTACAACGCCAGCAGTGTACCTTCGTGTCGTGTTACTTCACCCCAAACGAGCCAATCGCGGATTTTCGAAAGAGGGTTGACGATCTCGAGAGAGTCGTTCGCCATCTTGAGGGAGAAATCGTGATAGGATACTCTTGGACATGATAGCAAGTCTTGACTTGGTCATTGTGAATAGAAGAAATACATCTACTTTCCGGAGGGCAGGTGCGCGTGAGTCTATTTTAGACCTTACGCTCGCAACTCAACGGGTAGTTTATATAATCTAGAACTGGGCTGGCATTAATACATTTCATATTCGGTTCATAATCTGTGGGAAAAACCCCCGATTATCCCGGAGCGACGAATGACGTGGATAGGATAGAGACTGTCGAAGCTGGATGTGAGTGCCTTCCAAAAGGCAGTCTCGGAAAAAATCGATACTCTTCCTGACGTTTCCGATAAGTCACGTGAGGATGTAGAAATGCTCGTCGGTGGAACGATGGACGCCATCGTCACAGAGTGTGGCGCCGCTATGCCCCGTCAGACTGTAAGCTCACGTAGAAAACCGGTTTGCTGGTGGACTGCGATAATTGCACTGCTTAGAACTGAGTATCTGCGTCTTAGGAGAGAGGCACTTAGGTCGCGAAAGCTGGGCAGCAGAAGAATGACGAATACAAAGCGGCGAAGAACCGACCCGTTACTGCGACCAAGGTGAACATGCTGGAAAGCGGTCTGTAGACAAGTAGATGTCGACCTATGGGGAAACGGATACCGGATCGTCACCCAATAATTTGTGGGCCGCAGTTCAATAGCTCCCATGGAATCTGATAGGATGGAAGAAATAGTCCAAACTCTGTTTACCGAACGCGTAGACCGGGTTTGCACCCAGAGTGCGGTATCCAATGTCGAGTTGCGGGCAACGGCCCGCAACTCGACATTGGAGTTAAGTCCCTCAAGGTAGGTAAGGCCCTAGGCCCTGATTGCATCCTCGTCGAGGTCTATAAGGTCATAATGAAAAAGCATGAAAATCTGCTCCTTGACACTTACAACGTCTGCATCACGGCTGGAGTTTTTCCAAAAAGATAGATGTTGCAAAGATTGGTCCTGTTATATAAAGAAAAGGGCCCAACACGCCTTCATCCCACAGGCCACATTGTATGCTGGATGTAGCAGGAAAGATTTTCGAGGACCTAGTAAGGAATCAACTGAGGGAAAGAAGAAGAAGTGGCTGATGCTGGTGGCATGGTCGATAACCAACATGGTTTCCAACTGAGCCGCAGTACAACACGTCCCGTGTGCATAATGATGACGTTTGACGTCAAAAATGCATTTAATTCCGGAAAATAGGCGGACATTGTGAAGGCGCTTCGGAAATTAGATGTTTCCGAGTATCTGATCCGTATCATAAGTGATTACCTATTTGATCGTTTTTTGATATGTGAGATCACTATGGGAGAGATCATGAAGGAGCTGAGCATGGGAGCGGCCCAGGGATCGGTCTTAGGACCGAAGCTTTGGACCACCCTTTATGATGCACTTCTACGTCTCGACCTACCGACTGATGTACTGCTGGAGGGATTGCCTGACGATGTGGTGGCGTTAATCCTTGCAAGGAGCTATGGCGAAGCGCAGGAATTGGTGACTTGTCGTGGCCAAAATCAACGCGTGACTGAATGAACATGGTATGTCGTTAGCCAAAGCGAAGACAGAGGTCGTATTACTCACAGCTCAGCAGTGGTTTCCGAGGCTCTTCCAGGCTCTCGTCGTCAACACATCGAAAATCGGGGGTCTCTGAAATACCTTGGAGTGACGATCGACTCGAAACTGACGTTTCGAGAACATATTGTCAGTGTGGCCACAAAAGCGGCGACAACGCAGGCGAGTCTTTCTCGTTTAATGTCAAATGTCGGGGGACCAAGGAGCAGCCGCAGACGAGCTCTCGTGAGTGTCGCCAACTCGATTACGCTCTACGGAGTAGAGGTCAGGGGAGAGGGAGAGGCACTCAAAGTAGAGGATGCGCTGGGGTTAGGCTGTGCCTATCGACCGGTATCGGAGGTTGCCGTGTTGGTCATCTCAGGTACAATCCCAATCGACTTTTTGGGATTCTAGAGGAGGCGTATCTGTGATGCTCGTCGGGCTGGCGAGGAACCTTTGACTAACGTAAGGACTCGAGAACGCGAGGAGACTTTTGTGCTCTGGCAAGGGCGCTGGGAATCCGGGGAAACCGGGCAGTAGACTCTTAGGCTTATTGGACGAGTCCGTGACTGGATCTTACGGGAACATGGAGAGGTAGACTACTACCTCACACAATTACTTACTGGACACGGACATTTCAATGCCTACTTACACCGTATGAAAATCCGACGCGTTCCTGATTGCATGTACTGTCCGGGCGTTGTTGACTCAACCGAGCACACCTTCTTTGTCTATCAGCGCTGGCCTGAAACACGGCTAAGCTAGCAGAGCGAGAGAGGGTCTCACACAGGCCGGAAGAGGTCGTTCCTTGGATGTTGGCAACGAATGAGAACTGAACGGCGATGACGGGGTATGTCAGGGAGGTCCTGCTGATGAAGAAGGAAGGAAAAAAGAAGAAACGGAGGAATAGTCGCGTAATGCAGCGATGAGGACGAGTACCAGCAACATGAAGTAATGCTAACGCGGTCCCGTGGTACTGGGTACTTAAGAGAAAGGAGGTTTTAGTGGGTAAAAATCCCACACTACCAGTCTTACAACACCTTAACGGTGTCTTTTTGAAGATTTACTCCTCTCTTCCTAATTTAAAAAAAAAAACTAGGTATATACCTAGTTTTTTTTTTAATTATAATATATATATATTATATAAATTATATGTTAATACTACAAGCCATATGGCTTGTAGTATTAACATATACATATATATATTTACTACTTACTGCCTGCATCACTCAAGTACTACATCCATTTAGAAATCACCATTACGTTCACTTAGCGGTTAGCCACCGTAGAGTCTATATCACCTGAGGATGCCTCGTGTAGAGGCGAAACACGTGTCGTTTTATCGTCAAAGGTGTGTCTTGCCTAGTGTAGTGGTGTTGGGAGTAGCGGTGCTGGGATTAGTGGTGACGGGGATAGTGCACGCAATTGAGGGAGGGCGGGAGGTGCTCTTCATACTAGGTAAGACACATCATTTTATTTTATAACGCGGATATTTGCGAAGTAAAAAAAAATAAATAAAAATTTTTTTTTGTGAAAACCATTACGTTCGTAGTATTATTGCGACTGCATGATCTATTGTGATGGCTACTTTGGCTCTACCGCTAAGCCTTATTTATAGTTCACCGCTAAACCCTACATTTACAATAAATTGGAAGATTTTCTTAGCTGTCAGCTGTTTCACTTCCTCTGTTTTAATATGTAGATAGCCAGATGGATGTTGCGTTTGCGCCACATTGTCTCTGGTTTGCGCTTTAAGGGGTGCACTCTTTATACGCTCGCATTAATTAGATACCTAATGATACAAAACACTAATACCCTTAAGCAGGCCCAGTGAGGTCAATCATACTGACAATCAAACAAAGACAATCCTCATTTTTTTCTCCCACCAGGGCAACGCCACCAGGTTAAATATTTAACAGATTTCATTAAGGGGGAATACAATTTTTATTGTTAGGAAAATATAAAAACTTTCTGAAATATTTGTTATATTTAATATTAATTGGATTAATAATTGATTAAAAACCTACACATATTACTAAAAGTAATTGAATTAAATGGAAAGTTAAAAAAAGATAATTATAATAATGTAATTTATTATAATTGTCTTTTTGTTTTTATATTTAGACAAAAGTGACATTACATATCATAGGAAATAAATAAATCATTCGAGTTGTAAAAATACTTTAATTGTAATAGTTGAATGCATGATATAATGGGATAAGTATAAAAATACAGAAAATACTTCACTACATTTATGACTTTTGAAACAAAAATTCATCAAAGACAATAAATTATACCTTGTTTATTCTAATAAATACAATTAGCATTAATTAAACAATTGTGTATCTTGAAAAATAACTAACAACAAAATATAACAAAGCTAAATGTAAGCAACATTTTCACATTTAAATAAAAATTATTAATAATATATTTTAAAAGTAATATATCTAGAATGTTTTTAAATTATTGTGTAGCGCTTTCAGTTTGAGCATTTAATTTTATTTTATAAATAAATTAACCTAAAGCACACATTTCGCTTAGCCTGTCTAACAATAAAGTCTAAGATAAGACGGTTCTTCGTCATACTCAGCAAATTCATAGTCTTTTTAGCTTTGGGGTGGTATCGAAGTTCTAACTCAAAGAACTCTGTAATTCTACCCTCATTTCGTTGTATTTTCTTTTATTTTCTACCCTCATTCATAAATTATAAAACTTTTTATAGAATTTGTATGGAATACTATTTAAAGACGTCATATGTGGTCAAATAAACATCATTTATGTAAAAAAAAAATACTTTTAACTTAAAGAAAATTAAGCTTTGTGATCCTACAAAAATTATGTGATATAATAAATAAAAACATCGCGGGCTCACTCACCATGTTTCATAGTAATCACATGAATGTTATAAGAACGCATACGAGGCAAACTAAAAAAAAATTATATAGATTACCACCATGACCACCACCATCACAGGCCAACACCGTATACCTAGATGGTGTCGCCTACCAAATTTAAAACTGACACGGAAGTACACATTTGTACCTCACATATTGTTGACAAAGCAGACAGTTTCTTCGATGGTAATTATAATTGCGTTTCTAACCAGCAACGCGATGTCGATTGGTTTGACTCTCATTTCTCATCAATTTAACCAAATATATATTTAAATATACCAGAAAAATGTTATAAACCTTACTAATATTCCTGTTAACCCCTCCAAATAAGCTTATATATAGTTCATAAATTTGGGGGTGGTTCACGACAGTATGCGACTGGCAGATTCGACTTTTCTTTTAGTTCCCGATTTGCATCTATCTATTCGGCTACTGTTATTTATTTAACTTCTCTTATTATGTTTACTTCTGTTTTAAGAAGTCCTTCCTCTGCTGCTGTAACTTCTGCTCCAGTAGCGTGACCTTCTCCTGATATTTTGCGTTCTCCCTCGTCAGCGCTTGTATGGTGGAGTCTTTTCTAGCCACTGCTATTTTAACTCTGAAAGAAAAACTTGTACTTTTAAAAAGAACTGAAGTAACTGAACAATGTTCTTCCTCATTCATCATCAACCTTTAGAAGTCCACTGCTGGCTATAGACCTCTTCCGTTGCAGCTTTGTCTTAATCGTCACGCTTAGCAAACAGACTGACGACCGATATACCTCTGAAGTCGACTAATATATGTTGGCCGAGCGAAGGCAAGTGCCAACATATGGACAGAACATTTGCCTAGCCTCGCCATTGTTCGTTGTCGCTTGCCTAGCTGTCCGAGTGCAGGTGAGAGCCAACGTGTATACGGTTAGTTTCGCGTACTTTGACACCACTCGTGATCGCTCGCCACGAATCGTCTCACTACGGAACAGTGTTGCTTTTCTGCAAAAATCAAGGGCGCTCGCTAGCACTCGGCAGTTCCATGTTAGTTAGCCTGTCAGTATGTTCACTCATTTAAACTTAGCCAACATGTAGACTGTAGCTCTCGCCTTGTATCAATTTGCCTACGCTCGCGTTGGCTGAGGCTTGGTCAATATGTATTGCCGGCTATACCATGACCGGGGGACGAAATAGTGGGGGCTATGAGATCCAACGCTGCCTCCACAGGGCTTAACTTAACAATATATGAATATACTAGCGATCCACCCCGGCTTCGCACGGGTGATTTCTGGATCTCGACAACAGCGCCACCTACCGGGTCCAATTGTGAATTTATACCATCTAGGGACCCATTCAAATGCACACAAAACTTTTCATCAAATCGGTTGAGCTGTTTTTGAGTTTTAGCGAGACTAACGGACAGCATTCGATTGTTTTATATAGATTCTCGCCTTTCTCTACTGTAATATGCATGTATTATAGATATATTTTGTACGTGGTAGAGCCATGCTGCAGCTATATTAGTAGTATAGTTGTAGCACGAATGGGTCGGCTCGACCGGGGAAGGACCACGCTCTCACAGAATACCAGCGTCAAATAGCAGCTTAACACTGCTGTGTTTCGTATGGTGAGTGTAGGGAACCGGAGACCCTTTCTACTGGAAAAGAGGCATTCCATCTTAGTCCTCACGGGTGACAACGCATCTGCATTTTGATTCGCAAACGAGCATAAATGTAGATGTCTATGGGCCACAGCAACCACTTACCATCAGGTGGACTGTGTGCTCGTTTGTCACCCTATCCCATAAAAAAAAATCTTCCTGTCTTCTGAATCATTCTGTCTATTGAAGAAAACTGCATCAAAATCCGTTGCGAAGTTTAAAAGATCTAAGCGTACAGATGGGGGGAAAACGATTTTTTTATACTATGTTGAGACATGGTATTTTTCAAGGGTTAGTTGTTTTTAGGTCTTATAATATAATAACGAATACGAAAATTACTTGGCATAAAGCTGATGCATTTGCTCGTCGTGTTTTATCCTCGTGTCCTCGAGCTCTTTGTTTAAGGCGTCCATTTTGTTTTTCCATGCTTCATCGCAGCTTGCTCGTATCTCCTCCGCTCGGGTTTCCAGTTGGATGTTTTTCTACACACGGATTGAAAATCGTCACTTAATAAAAATCGTGACTACATTTCATAGTACTAAGCGCGCGTACCGTGTAGTGGCGATGTAAGAATATCCACTAGCCCATAATATCATCGCATCGTGTTGTAAAAGGCGACAGAGGGAAACAAATCAGGAGATAGTAGAGATTGAATACGTGGTAGAGCCATGCTGCAGCTATATTAATAGTATAGTTGTAGCACGAACGGGTCGGCTCGACCGCTGAAGGACCACGCTCTCACAGAATACCAGCGTAAAATAGCACCTTAACACTGCTGTATTTTGTATGGTGAGTGTAGAGAACAGGAGACCCTTTTTACTGGAAACGAGGCATTCTATCTTAATCCTCACGGGTGACAACGCATCTGCATTTTGATTCGCAAAGGAGGATAGATGTATATGTCTATGGGCCACAGCAACCACTTACCATCAGGTGGACTGTCTGCTCGTTTGCAACCTTAAAGCCCAGTTTCCACCGCGAGCGGAACGGACCCATTAATTACTCCTTTTACCTCGCAATACAAAACTGCATACATGTGTTTCCACCAAAAAAGAGTAGAGTGTAAATAACAAAGAGGGCGAAAAGAGTAAAAATGAGCTGCGGACTCGGACCGGAGTCATTAATGACTCCTTTCAAGTCGCAATTGAGTTTTACGAAGTAGTGTTTCCACCGAAAAAGAGTTGAGCGGAGCGGACCAAACGAGTAACATGTGTCCGCTGCGTCGCGGTTTCGCCGACTAGTTTGAAACGGACTCGCTCGACGCTGCTGTTTTAAAATTTATAATTTTAAAATGTCGGCCTTTAAAAATAATAAAAGTTGTTGAAATTTTTCTCTGCTAACCCTGTAATAGTTCTTAACTTTTTCGTCGTCCAAATTATTGAATAGCCTATATTCCCCTTTCAACGTTCTTTCTCGAATGTGCCGACACAACCAAAATCTCCGTTTTGCACGTTTTTTTCTGTGGTTAAGATATAATAATATATACTTTTTCTTTCGGTATACATAATCACTTGATTTCGTGTCACTCGATAACATCGCGAATTCACACAACAAAACACTACCGCACGTAACCAGTTCAAAACTCTAACTAAACTCGCTCTCGGTGGAAATTGACTATTCATTTCCCATTTCTCATGTTCCGTTCAGCTCGCTCCGCTGATTCCTCTATCGTTATCCGTTTGCAGTAGAAATCAACAGGCAAAACTCTTTGTTGGTGGGAATGCATACCTATTTTGTTTAAAAGGAGTCCGTTCCGCTTATCATTTCCCTCTCATTACCCTTCCGCGGTGAAAACCGGGCTTTATACTATAAAAAAAAATGGGCATAAGCGTTTTCCTAATAACAACTAAAAATAAAAAATTGCGGTTGCCAACCAGCTTTCCAAGCATGGCAACGAGTATCCCTTCTATGAGGCCGTCTATGTGGGAGGCCATATTTATTCAGCAGTGGACTTTAATAAGCTGTGGTCATCGATCACTAATAAAAAACTAGATACACAATCAGTGACAAAAAATGTCCTTACCGAATGAGCGCCCCACTCGAACATTTGGGTGCGCTTTTAATTTGTACGTGGCTTTGTAAATACAACTTTAGACAATGCATTTAAGGTTGAATTTACATTTAATGTATATTTATTTCAACTAGAATTACGTCAAAACAATTGGCGACAGTTTTTAGAGAACTTTTGCATGGGATTGTGCATCTGGTGATCGATGGCTGTGGTAGAGGGATATGACAGAGAGATCTTAATGCTTCCGAAAGGTGGCGATATAGCCATCTCGTTTACACCACGAGTAAAATATCGACCTTATACTTATGTACCGACTCCAAAAAGGAGGAGGTACTCAATTCGACTGTATTTTCTTTTTTTTGTGTGTTACCTCATTACTTATTTCTAGGTGAATCGATTTAGTCGATTCTTTTTTTATTTGAAAGCTGGTGCTTCTCATGTGATCCCATATAATTGATCAAGGTCTGGACAATAGTTTTTGAGTTATCCTTAATAATTTATATCGAAGTCGGTTGTACAAAATTTTTAATTTTACCACTTGTTTTTAAAATTATTCTTAAGCCTGTATTTATGTCGTGCTCAAAGCTTATTCATTTTTATTTATTTAATTTTTATTACGCACCTTGTAATAAGGGATATAAATGACGGACTTAATGCCTTATGGCTTTATGGATGATTTGAGAAACTGTGGCGGGTGTAAACAATCACTTCATAAGAGATACAAGGTACAATAAAATGCAAACAAATAGAATATAGTTAGTAAAAAGTGGTTTTCTTATTTTTTTTTTCAAAATAATTGCACCCAACACAAATCAATTATTAGTTTTTGCACAGATAAGTAGTTCCGACTAATATTGGAACTTAGAGCACCAGCTAAGTGATAATAATGATGACCTCCTGGTAGATTTGGACATGACGCCAACTCGAATGTTGAAAGCTATCACAGCTTCACTGACAAGAGTTATTCATAAAGCCACGAATGTACTTCTTCTTCAACCTTTTTCCTCTTCATCATCAACTACCCGTAGAAGTCCACTACCGCTGTGCACGAGTCTCTCATTTTTTTAATTAATCGTCACGCTTGCAGGCGTATTGAATATTGCCATAGTATACGTCTCGCACCTTTGACATTGCTGCCCGTCGTCGGTCTAGATATTTAACGATGGACGTAATCGAAGTGGCTATACCGATATCGGTAACCGGTATCCTTTTTAATGGTAATAAGGCATTCTATCTCAGTTAATGCAACATTTTTAATCTTGATCGAGGATAGATCAAGGTGACTTTGGGGCACAGCTTTTACTTTACCATCAGGTGAAATGTGTGCTCGTTATTCATTATTCTATGTACCCATTACATTTTTTTTAGTATTTCGTAGTGGCGTACGACACTTACAGGAAGAAATAGACTGGATTATTTTCACCACCACCACGCGGTGCCGTGGCAGTAATGGATAATCTTTAAAGCTAGCTAAAATAAAATTTCACATCTTTAATATAATGAATTTCCCCAAAATAACGCCTGATTATTTTAGTTATAAACCATTTCTATTCGGAATCATTGAGGAGATAATTAATCATAGTATTAAATCTAAATATTTCTGAACACAGTTCGGTTGAAGCGGTGCATTTTTAAAGCGGTGCTTAAATTGATATGAGTGAAAATGTTGGTTACCTCTGTTAGCACTTTATTTCTTGTTTCAAGCTGGCCGATGGCCACCTCCAACTCTGCGCCTAGATTAAATTGCTCTGTCTTCATTTGAACACCTTAATTAGTACCCTATACGGGTCCGACGTAACAGAATTCACTACGTCAAATCATCCCGTGAGTGTCGTGAGAGACGATTGAGAGAAATCAAATAGGAAGCGGCAGAATAATCCTGATATCAATTCAAAATAAAAATATTGCTATTTCCAACTCACCTATCGAGAGTGGCAACTATTGAAGTAATCAATGAAGGAGGCCAAGTTCAGCAGCGGACGTTGGCTAGGCATGAATGAATGAATGACATATTTTTTACACAAAAAAAAACATGCGTGAGTGTCGTGGAACACTCGGTTGGAACGAAGTTCCTTTCGTAGTATATTATTATTGATTAACGTATTATGTTATTGATTAACAAATACATACAAATGAATTACTAACGTCTATTAAAATTAAGCGTCATTTGAAATAAAATGCCACTTGGCAGCGTTGGACTCAGAGGAGAGACGTGCTAAGAGACTCATTAGTGACCGTGATATACCAATTGAAACCAATTTTGTCAGCCTCGAGCACATGCGCAGAGTAGCCAGTCTCTCAGTATTCTATAGGAATCATTTCGGTGAGTGTGCGCAGGAATTATACGCTTTAATTTCTCCCTCTCCTTTCCACCATCGGACAACCAAGTGGTCGGCGGGTCTTCATCCTTTTGTTGTCGATATTCCACGCATTAGAACTAAACGCTTTGCTTCGTCTTTTGTAATGCGTACAGCAAAGGAGTGGAATAATTCGCCGGCATCTGGCTTTCCGTCCGAGAGAATAGGCTTTTATTACGCTATGGTAGTGCGATTTACCATCTAGGACTGCATCACCACTTACCACCAGGTGGGATTGTATTCAAGCAGTGGTTTATAATAAGTAAAAAAATATTTCTTTCATGGGAAGATAAGAAAAAGTGCGAGGGAGATGTATATTACTCCATCTCACTTCCTTATAGCCGTCAAGGCCGTCTATACAACGTCAGTAGGTGTCGTGACGGAAAAATCTTACACTTTTTCTCGCCTAGCTCCCATCCGCCGAATTCGTACCGTCTGATAAGGAACTTCGTTCCAAAAAGGTGTTAAATAAACACACAGACCACCAGATTATAAGTGGATGATTGGGATCATGGACACCTCTCCTCAATTCAGCCTTGAGGACTAAGATGAAATGCACTGTTAGAAGTCACAAGATTCTTCAGTTCTCGTACCAACACTGGTTTTCTGAGAGAGTTAGCCCCCACGGGCCATTTGCGCTGCATCCATTTAATATTTTACCGAATAAACGCGTGGAAAAAGGCACAAAGTAGCTTTTTATGGCAAAGACTAAGTGAGTTTAACCCCGCGGTCTCTAATGCTTGTTGCAAACAACCAAGTCTCGGCGTCTCTTCCAGTATGCAGTACATATATAATTCAATACTCCAGACCGAGTTTCTGTCACGGCGGTCAGTCACAACGGAAACTATAGCAGCAGGATAGGACTATAGTACACCGGTGAGTGCGCAAGCACAACAGCTGCATACTCTATTCCCTTACTGTGATAGTCCGATGGGACTGCAATCTGAAACGACCGGAGAGACATCAGACGCAGGACGGCGGCTTTACGTGCTTACTTTACACTATATATACTCAGACTTCTATGAATTCAGTCCTATACACTGTATAGGAAGGAATCCGTAAAACTTCTGAGGGTGATCTGTAAAACGTCTGGGTGATGAACCCGTAAAATTTATAGGAATGGATCAGTAGTCTTAGAATGGTCTGTAAAACGTCTGAGCGAATGGTCCGTTTAGCGTCTAGTAATGAATCCGTAACAAGCCTGGTGATACAGATACATAAGCAAAACTAACAGCGGTCCTCCGTGTGGCGCACTCTCGCCTGTGCGTCCTGGTATCGCTTCAGTGTTGCCTGCTCAGTTTCCGCTAGCTCTCTCAGCTCCATCTCGTACTGTTCTTTGTTTCTCCTGCGGAGTTAATAAAAAAACATTACTCAATTATAAGTAACATCTTCAAAATTGTAGTGTATTGTAGTGTAGCTCTTTAGTTTAACGCCTTAACAAAAGCAAACAGTTCTGAAGTTAAGATTTGCGTTAGTAATTGTGTAGTAAAAAAATTATCATTTATCTTTTTTATGGTATTATTACGAGGGCTGCACTAAAAGTATCGGGAATAGAATATTTCCACTGTTCCTGTTATAATAAAATCTTTTTAATTGAAAAGTCCTTGGTTTTAAAATTCGAATACCATTTATTTATTTAAAAAAAGATTCTCGGTCTTGCCACAAGGTTTTATCAAACTTGTTTAGTCGTTGAGAATGGAATTGACTCGAGAAAATTCAAGATCGATGATTTATTATGACTTTCGAAGTGGTTTAACACAAAAACAGTGTGTTGACCGGATGATTTGTGCATTTGGTGATGAAGCCCCATCCAAAACCACAATTTATCGCTGGTTTGCTGAATTTCAACGTGGACGTGTCAAGCTCAGTGATGATCCCCGTCAAGGTCGTCCAAAAACTGCAGTCACCCAAGAAAACGTTGATGCTGTGCGTAAGCTGATTTAGGAAGATCGACATATGACATACCGCGAAATTCAGGCAACTTTAGACATTGGCATGAGTCAAATACAAATAATCTTGCATGAAAAATTAGGTGTAAAAAAGTTGATTTCCCGATGGATACCGCATTTCGCTCTGTGAAGAGCAAAAAGCGGCTCGCGTTACTTGGTGCGTCAGAACTCTCGAAAGATTCCACGCAGGATCCTCAAATGCTGTATACAACATCGTATGAGGTGACGAATCCTGGATATACGCGTACGAACCCGAAACAAAAAACCAGTCACGAGTTTGGGTGTTCAAAAATGAGTTAAAGCCAACAAAAATTGTTCGTTCACGGAGTGTTGCAAAAGAAATGGTGGCCACGTTTGTCTCCAAAACCGGCCATGTTACGACTATTCCTCTTGAGGGATAAAGAACGGTTAATGCAGAATGGTATGCTAGCATTTGTTTGCCACAGGTCGTTTCTGAACTCCGTAAAGAGAACTGCAACCGCCGCATCATCCTCCATCACGACAATGCGATTTCTCACACCGCACACAGAACAAAAGAGTTTTTAGAGCAAGAAAACAGAATTATTAGACCATCCGCCGTACAACCCCGACCTAAGCCCTAATGATTTCTATACTTTCCCTAAAATAAAGAATAAATTGCGTGGACAGAGATTTTCATCACATGAAAAAGCTTTGGACGCCTACAAAACGGCCATTTTGGAGACCCCAACTTCCGAATGGAATGGTTGCTTCAGTGATTGGTTCCATCGTATGTAAAAATGTGTCAAATTTCGCGGAGAATACTTCGAAAAGCAATAAATACATTTTTAAATAGTAATGTTGTGTCACTTCCTTGATTCCCGAAATTTTCAGTGCCGCCCGCAGTAATCGCAGTAGTCGTACATATACATATTTTAAAAATAGACGATACCCGTCATCGTCCGCGTTGCTTGATATACATATTAACAAAGTTTTCGATACATAATAAATATATAAACAAGATTGTAAGAAACGAATTATATGAAAATAAGTTATTTAACGGTAAAATTACTGAGAAAACTTTTTTTTATAGGATAGGGTGACAAACGAGCACACAGTCCACCTGATGGTAAGTGGTTGCTGTGGCCCATAGACATCTACATTTATCCTCGTTTGCGAATCAAAATGCAGATGCGTTGTCACCCGTGAGGACTAAGATGGAATGCCTCTTTTCCAGTAAAAAGGGTTTCCGGTTCTCTACACTCACCATACGAAACACAGCAGTGTTAAGATGCTATTTTACGCTGGTATTCTGTGAGAGCGTGGTCCTTCACCGTTCGAGCCGACCCATTCGTGCTACAACTATAATACTAATATAGCTGCAGCATGGCTCTACCACGTATAAAATACCAAAAACTATAGAAAACTACAGGGGGCAATTGATCAAGGTACAACTGAACAGCATCAGGTCGCTCACGCAAAATAATGCGCGGCTGGCCCTAACTTTATCATGAGGCAGAGGTAGCCGAGTCTTACCTTCTACTACGCATGCGCACTAAACCGCTTGCCCTACTTCTCCGCGGCAAGAAAACACACATCACTGAACACGTAGTTCTTATAAAAATCGTTGTTTCTTAAAACTTTAATACTCATAGTTTTATATTAAATTAAGATATCGCAATATTTTTTTTTAGATAAAGGCCAAGTGTCTAAGAAATAACAACACCCAACTGAAATCTATCCAGTAGTTTTTCCGTGATGCGCACCCAACTGCAAACCTCTATCATTTTATTTATATACTAGCTGATACCCGCGACTTCGTCCGCTTTGCTTACACACATCACTGAACATGTAAGTAGTGCTTATAAAATCGTTGTTTCTTTAAACTTTAATAACTCTAATCTGCAAACCTCTAACATTTTATTAATATAAGATAACAAATACATTTCTGTTTTATTTATTTGTGAAATAATATAGAAAATCCAATTATAAAATAAAAATAAAAACTATTGGTAAATCCAACTGTGCATGCCAACGCATTAAAAAAATTACGTATAACATGATTATACGTAAATTTTTAAAAATTATCGTGTTTACCACTCCATGCGGACTTGATAAATCTACATCATAAGCCACTAAAACCACTTTTTTATGTAAAAGTAGCAATTAATCGATTTAAAAAGAAATATACTAAATTCAACAATTATTTATCTTTCTGATTTCTGTTCAATATGATTGTTAGATACGATTCTATGCGACAAAACGTTGGAAACGTTTTAGGCACTAGTAGAACATACCTACGCGCTTTGCGCTTAAGGCATGCAAAAAAACGTTCGCCATACAGTGAATATTCACAATAGCAAAACTATTTACGAACAACAACAACGCTCGTGGTTATCTATCAATGAGAGCTTGTCATAATATGTCGAAATTACTCTGTGCACCTAAATAAATATTACGTTTTGAGTTAATTAATCTGCTATATTAAACTTTTAACATCACTGTAAACTTATTTAACCGTGTAGTGGCAGAGTAATAATATCCACTACCTCATATCGTCCTGTGGGTGTCATAAGAGACGGATACCTGTAAGGTAAGCCAAAAAAAATCTTCCTAGCCTTCCAGATGATGGTGATCGTCTATGCCTATACCACATATAAAATATCCAGACAGGTAACGGGCAGGGCCGGATGACCAAGCAGACCAAGGCAAAGTAGGGAACTACATAAGATCCCGCTTCCCTTAAAGGCCCCGGGGTCATAGAAAAAGGCATTTTTACATGTTCTAAGAAGTTGGAAAAAGAGAGATTGGCCCGGTAATCGCATTACATCCAAGATAAGAGACATCAGAGAACCGTGGTAGCTCAGGGGTTAAGCGTTTTCTGTATATTTCATAGTACGCCACCAACACGGGTTCGATCCCCGCTGGCACCAATTAAATTGTTAATTGCAATTTTAAGTTTTGATTTCTGAAAACATCGCGAGGAAACCTGCATGTCCGAGAAATAGAAAAACATATTTCGAAGACATTTGAAGTTCGCCAACACGCATTGGGGCAGCGCGGCGGACATTTCCTAGTCCTAAAAACGCTCTCAGAAAAGAGAAGAGGCCTGTGCCCAGCTGTGTGACGTATATAGGCTGCAACTATAAAAAACATCAGGCACTGTGATTCACTATACGCTTGCCTGCGTGTCAGTTGTGGAAAACACGTCCAGATAGAAGAGGTTCATATAAAATCTTCTTACGTGGTAGAGCCATGCTGCACCTATATTAGTTGTATAGTTGTAGCAGGGTCGACTCGACCGGGGGAGGACCACGCTCTCACAGAATACCAGCGTAAAAAAGCAGTTTAACCCTGCTGTGTTTCGTAAAGTGAGTGTAGAGAACCGGAGACCCTTTTTACTGGAAAAGAGGCATTCCATCTTAGTCCTCACGGGTGACAACGCACCTGCATTATGTTTCTTTATTGAGGATAGATGTGGATGTCTATGGGTCACAGCAACCACTTACCATCAGGTGGACTGTGTGCTCGTTTGTCACCCTATCCTATAAAAAAAATTGTAGACTATTACTGGCTGATAAAGAAGGAGGAAAATATCCCCCTATGAGGCAATCTATGGGGGGGGGGGGCTATATTCAGCAGTGGACTTTAATAAGCTGTAACAGTATGGCATGGTAAAGAAGGAAAATATCCAATAATTAAATCATGAGAAGTCAGCAATAATGACTACATAACCAAAATGTAGGCCAATTGGTGTATAGGTAAGATATAAATAGATATTATAAAGTCTTGTTTTGCCAAGACTTTATTTGCACTTACCTCAATGCATCTTGCAGCTCTCTCCTTCCAGCTTGCGCTTCTGCCTCCATACTCTCTATGGCTTTCTCTATCTCTCTGTCTCTCTCTAGTTTATATTGCGCAGATATCTCTGCCACTTTCTTCTTTAGTATCATTTGCTGTTGCGCTTCGAACTCCTTTTTATGTTTTTCAAATTCTTCCTCTAGCTCTGCGCGTTTTTCTTTCAATTGTTCCTGCAGAAATATACTTTAACAGAATTATAAATACAAATGTGGATAAGCGATTGGCTGTGACGCTGAGGACCGCGAGTTTGATGTCCGCAGTATAGCTTAAATAATTCTTTTGGTGTCTGGTGGGTACCAGTCCGTGTGCAATTTATGTATGTAAAACGCCTCCACGATACTTAAAAAAATTCTAGTGGTAAATAATATTTTTTATAAAAGTAAATATAATGAAGTTAATTTTAGCATCGTAGACTAATAAAGACATTTAAGTAGTAGTAATTTGAATCTCTTTATAGTCTAACAAAGAGAAAAGACAGAGCATGCTCAACTTATTGTAAGAATACGCACTCACGTACACCATTCATCTATTTATTCCATTACAGCCTATATAAGTCTGTACAGCTGAATATAAGCTTTCCCAAAAGATTGCATCAAAGGGGGGATTTTGCCTAAGTTACAACGGTCACAGGTCGGCAACCGTAACATAATCATTTGACACCAACAACATGGTTTTAACAGCTGCTTGGAACAGGTAAAAGGGTGGTATCTATAGAGATAGACTCCTAGGTGAAAAATGTGTAAGGAGTCCTACCACATAGATTAGCCACGATTGTTACGAGTTTTTTGTATAGATTTAAAAAAATAAGTTAAGTCACTTATCATGTTTATAACAATTTTGATAAGTTTATTGATAATCACCTCAAGTTTCGCCTTCTCTGCAGCTATATCCTTATCTAATTGTGCTCGCTTTTCTTCAAGTAATTTCTCCTGTTCTTCCTTCCATTTTTCTGAAATGGAATGGAAGTTGATAACAGTTAATAGAACATTAGCCGTGCGATACTGGTGTAAGAGAACTCATCACCACATTTCATCTCATGGATAACGTACGGGGCAACTACTGGGTAAGCTAAAAGGCTATAGCTTCCGATAGTTGACGGTATAACCGTTTACGCCAGACGTAAAATAACCGAACTGGCGTTAAAAGTACAAGAAGCCTGACAATGAAGGCAAACTTTGTCCACAGTGGGAGAGGCTCATGTCTTTTAAGGGCTGAAAGGGCAGACTAAAAATAAAAGTATATTTAACACGTGCTGCAAAGTGTGTATGGTAATAATGTTATTAAAGCGGGATGCTCCGATACCCCCGCCATACATTTTTTTGTATTGACATATACGTTAAACACAGACACTATTTGTTTAAAACTAATAATTTTATCACTTTTCTACGATGAAATATACCCGCGATTGACCTTATTAGGAAATAATTTACAGTATTTATCATGAAAAACAATAGTGAAATCTAGGAAAATTTTGACACTTCTTTAGTAGTGTGAGTGAATTTTGACAACTTGACAAGCAAAAGCGCCAAAAACAGTTTAAACATTGGCACGCTAGATGGCGTGTAGACGATATTGTTGTGCAACAAATACCATTCATACAATCTAAATTATCGTTGTATATTTCTTTTTATTTTGTATTTACAATAAAATCAAAGTGTGAAATAATACTTCATTATGTTGGTATAACCACCTGCTCTATTCAATAAGCTGCTGTTCAGATTTTTGTTTTACTAAAAGCTTTTGTAGTTGTGTGTGCTTTGAAATTAGGAAATATTTTTTCACCTTCCTGGTAATTATCGCGTGTTGACATAATTTATTTTCCAAGATTATTATTGAATTAAATAGTTTATTTACGCCTACAAATATAAGTTAAAAAAGTTAAAGTTAAAGTTACAGCCTATATACACGTCCCACTGCTGGGCATAGGCCTCCTCTCATTTCTGGGGGGTTTTAGGGCAAGGAGAGGTCCGACGCGCTGCCCCAATGCATGTTGGCAAACCTCACATGTCTTCGAAATTTATATTTTTGTCTTATTTGTCAGACATGCAGGTTTCCTCTCGATGTTTCCTTCACCGCCGAGCACGTGGTGCCGGCGGGGATCGAACCCAGGTTTCTCGCGTACTGAGAAAATTACAGTGAGTGCTAACCATCTGAGCTACCACGGCTCATTTTACAAATATAACTTTTATTTTTATAACATAATCGTAAAATACTGGTATTTAGTTGAATCCGGTTTGACTGGGAGCCGGCCAATATAGTTGAGAAAAAGCCTAGGCAGATGATGAATCGTACATAACATTATTTTTCATTCACGCCATCTAGTGTACAATTTTCGTAAATGTAGAGACTAAGAATTCACCCACGTCTGTGTGTGTAAAGTGTAAACGACACTATATTCAATGACAGATGTTATTTTCGGACTTTGTGTTGAATTGTGTTGTGTTGATTTTGAGGCAATGATATGACCTAGTAAAACGAGTTGAATGTAAATTCAAGAAAAACAACTTCCTTCTGCGTGAATCCCATATCTCTGGTGCCCTTTGATCTGCAGGGCCCAAATTCAAACTCGACCGAGCTACTACCTCAAGGTATCCACATACCAAATTTAAAGTCAATCGGTCCAGTGGAACGGAAGTTATCGTGTCGGCATACAGACTAACAGACTGCCAGCTAAAACCATTAACTTCCTTTCAATGCTACGCAGAAGGAAGTTAATAAAATGTCTGAGTATCGCGATTGCTACTTCTACGACTTAATAATGTTCTAATTATACAAAAACCCAAATAAACTAAAAAATGATGACTTCAGCGCCATTTCGAGGGAATATAGCCGGGAACAGACCGTATGTTTCACCTTAAAAACTAACATCACTCGGTTTTGTATAATCTATACTAAATAAAATTGAATTATCTGTCTGTAATGTCAAAATAACAGTTTTTTTACTAAATTCACATGAAAGTATAAACGGTAATTATAATAAAAATATATTTTTTTTAATTTTATCTGTCTGCCTGTTAGTTCCGGCTAATCTCCGAAATGGCTGTACCAATTTTGACGGGACTTACACTGGCAGATAGCTGATGTTATAAGGAGTAACTTAGGCGACTTTTATTTTAGAAAAATAATTAGGGTCCCGTCCAAAACAATAAAACCCTACATTACACGCGAGTAAAGTCGCGGGGAATAACTAGTAATAAAATAAAATTCAAAAATTACCACGTGCTCAGCGATGAAGGAAACCAGCATGTCCGAAAAATAAGAAAAAATATTTCAAAGACGTGAATTTCGCCACCACGCATTGTGGCAGCGCGGCGGACATTTCTTTGCCCTAAAACCCTCTCAGAAATGAGAGCAGGTCTATTCCAAGCAGTGGGACTTATATAGGCTGTAACTTTAACTAACTTAAAAAAAATTAACAGTGTTTAAAGGACAGTTTGCATGTGTCGTATTGTAAAATATACAAAATAAAATTAAAAATGTTATCAAAATCTAATCAATTTTTATTAAAATCGAATTTGTACCTTTTTAGATCATAAAAAATTAAATTTTCAATTATAGTGACTAAATCGGAAGTGAGGGTAGACCGAATTTAATCATATTTTCTTAATACACGTTTGTTAGCTTGATCTGTATGTATGTGAACCAGTAGTGAAGCTTAAATAGTTTCAATAAGTATTGTTATAATCTATGTACACATATTTTGCATTATTTTATTCTATTATTTAATTTTGTGTTCTTCTACTTTTGTAAAAATTTTGTGTTACTTTTAAACTCTTAATTTTAATAATAGTGTTACCTTGTAGTGGCGGTGTAAGTATATCCACTACCCCATATCATCCCGTGGGTGTTGTAAGAGGCGACAGAAGGAAACAAATCAGAAGGTGAGCAGCATCGTTAATAACAACTAAAAATAAAAATAAAGCTGCGCCTGCCAATCCGCTTGACAGGCTTGGTAATTATGGTAAATATTCCCCATATGAGGCAATTTTTTACGTGGTAGATCCACGCTGCAGTAATGTTGTGGCTGTAGCACGAATGGGCGACTCGACCGGGGTAGGACCACGCTCTCACAGAATACCAGCGTAAAATGGCAGCTTAGTGCTGCTGTGTTTCTTATGGTGAATGGAGATAACCGGAGACCTTTGACCTTTTTACTGGGAACAAACCATTCTATCTTAGTTTTTAGGAGTGACGACAACGCATCTTCATTTTGATTCTTAATCGAGGTTGTGGCTGTAGCACGAATGGGCGACTCGACCGGGGTAGGACCACGCTCTCACAGAATACCAGCGTAAAATGGCAGCTTAGTGCTGCTGTGTTTCTTATGGTGAATGGAGATAACCGGAGACCTTTGACCTTTTTACTGGGAACAAACCATTCTATCTTAGTTTTTAGGAGTGACGACAACGCATCTTCATTTTGATTCTTAATCGAGGATAAATGTAGATATCAATGGGCCACAGCATCCGTTTACCATCAGGTGGACTGTGTACTCGTTTGTCAACTTATTCTATAAAAAATATGGGGTAGGTCTATGTTCAGCAGTGGACTTTAATAAGCTGTAAGTGTAACGGTAATAGTGCAATACCCATGGCGGCGCGTTGCTTTTGCTCGCGCTCGCCTAGTTGAAGCGCGGCGCGCTCGCTCTCCGCGCGCAGTTCGCTCACGAGCCGCGTCCGCTGCTCTTGATACGTTCTCTCTATTTCTACAATCTGCTTCTCCAGTCTGCAATTTAAAAATTATCCGTAATTTACACTTCCGATTGGCACTTGGTGAAACTCCTCCTTCATTTTTGTGGTTTGGATATACACATGTATTTGTTTCACTTGTATTTATTTTAATTTACCAATTTATATACTATAAAAACAGACCGTATAAATACGCTCAGGGAATTAGTTCTTATAACTACCGCAAACATAAAAATAAAATTAGTGTCTGTCTATATTCTGTAATATTGAAATAACTGATTTCTATTAAACTCAGGGGGTTATTTGCATGCTACATAAGTCCTAAAACCATAAATAACCATTTTAAAAAATTGTCTGTCTGTCTGTCCGGGCTAATTTTCGGAATGGCGGAACCGATTCTAAAACTTCACAAAAAATTGAGAACAATACCAGGAGTGATCTAGGCTATATTTTATCAGACAGTGTAGCCCTACGTCAGAATGTGTCAAAAAATGGCACGTATGGCAATTCATAATGCTGTATTAGTCCCTACCTTAATGTATGATAGCGAAAGCTGGATGTGGCAGAAGAAGCACGAGAGTAGAATAAATGCTACAGTAATGCGTTCATTAAGAATTATGATATGACTGGTACCGTGGTAAATGCGAAAGAAAATGCAAAGTAATGCAACACCTCCTCGCAGCGCTAATGAATCGAGCCGATCGGAAAGGACTCGATTGATTCGCAATCGAGGATAGATGTAGGTGCCATTGGCTACCGCACTCACTTACCATCAGGTGGAAAGTGTTCTCGTTTGTCACACTTACTTTATTAAAATAACTATTACCCAGAAAGCGAAAGGCAACAACGTCAATAAGGGTAGCGTAAACGGCATAATCTTAATAAAATGTGGCTGTTGCAGGCTGATACGAAAAGGAATAACCTGGAGCTGGCTAACTGTCTCTCTTTCACCAGTGCATCTTCTTTCTCCTGCTCTAATGCTCTTCTCAGTTCCTCCAGCTCGTTCGCATGCTTTGCCTGAGCCTTGCCCATTTGTTCTGCGTGCGCCATTTTCAAATCTGATATTTCTTTCTGCTGACGCTCCGCCATTTCTCGAAGTTCCCCTTCCAGACCTTTGACAGTTAGCTCCTGAAATACATTGTTCAACTTTTTAATAAGTACTAGTACTTAGTAATTTATTTATGAAAATGTAATGTACGTACACAAAAATAAAAGTAGTTTTATAAAAATAAGTGATATTCATTCTGTAAATACTAGGAACAGACACAAGCTAGTAGTACCAGTTACTCGACTCCATCGAGTCAGTAATTCATTCTTGGGGCGATGTATACGCTTTTACAACAAAATTCCAGAAAATATACAAAATTTGACCTGCTCAAAGTTCAAAAACTTTATTAAACTAAGTTTGTATAAAAGGGTTATTATAATATTAATGAATTTATAGATGATAATAACCCCTGGAAATGAGGTGATCGCTACCAAGCTATTTCTAATTTGTTGTGTTGTTAATTTGTGTAACATACATGATTGTAAGCTGTTATTTAAAAAAAAAGTCCCGCTGGGTTTCTTGCTGGTTCTTCCCAGGACAGAGGTTTTTTTTTTCGAACCAGTGGTAATCATACAAAAGAGTGACTTTCAATAAGTATTATTTATAATCTATATTGAATAAAAAAGTTTCTGTTTCTGTTTCTGTTTCAATAGTTTTTTTTTTATGCTCAACCACTCCAACTGAGCTATAATAAGAGATCAATTAAAATAAAATTAAAAATGAGAAACGAATTTTATGCATTTAATAGATTTGTAGTATACTTTCTTTTACATCGCCGTAAATAAGAAAAAGGATTAAAACTATTTAGACAGCTTCTTTTTCTAAATTTGGCATGCATATTTTTAAAGGAAAATATAACAAAATGCGATTACAACTGAAAATTAATAATAGATATGTAATTAAATACCTACTTTTTAAATGTATATTCGTTTGTTTTCGAACGTCCTACAAAATACAGTTGAAGTTTGTGTCATTTCAATTTGATAGTCCTAATCCCGTCTTCCGCGCAACAGTGTTTTATATCCCTCATATAATTTTTAATGCAACGCGACTCTTAAACCTTCACCTAAAGGTAAACTATAGGAGCCTGGCCTAAATATGTGCTAGAAGACGTTGCACAACTGTAGAGTTAGCTAAGCCCCAATATTATATACTATCTGATACCCGCGACTTCGTCAGCGTTGCTTGATATATTAACAAATTTTTCGTATGTACGAAGGAAAAAACATCAAAAAGACTAAATTTCTTTGTAAACAATGTTATTTGTTGCTCCGCTTGAAGCTAAGCATATAAATTAACTGGGATGGTAACTCGAGAGCAAGCGACGTATAGTTAGTTGAACGTGTGAAAAACCCTTTAATATTATAATAGCTTTATATTAAATGAAAATATCGCAATATGTTTTTTAAGGTTCCGTACCTCAAAAGGAAAAAACGGAACCTTTATAGGATCACTTTGTTGTCCGTCCGTCTGTCTGTCTGTCTGTCTGTCAAGACCCTTTTTCTCAGAAACGCGTGGAGGTATCAAGCTGAAATTACAAATATGAAATACTCAAGTCTACTGTCCCTTGGAGCTGTGAAAAAATCAAACTTCTAAGCCAACGCAATCAAAACATACAGCCGTTTATGCCGCAAATTTTCGACATTCGCAAGGGAATCAAAACCTACAGGGTACTTCCCGTGAACTCAGAATCTTAAAATTTGGTACGAAGCAACGTATTATAGAATAGATAAAGGAAAAATTGCGAAAAGCATAAATTTTTACTTACATCATATAATAAAAATATTTTTAATAATTTTAAACTACGGATTTGTGCGGAACCCTTCTAGTCTGCTTTTGCTTCGACGCCATTAAGAATGTGTGTTTTGATTTAATGCCCCTCAGAAATTAATTTATTTAAAATTAGTATTAACTATATTTACCTATTTCACGATCTTAGCTTAAGAGGTAGCCGTGTAGTGGTGGTGTAAGAACATTCACTACACCATTTCGTCCCGTGGGTATAGTAAGAGGCGTGCATCTTGCTGACAATGACTCTATATAAAAATCCAAAAGTCCATGACTCATAATGCTCATATAATCATGAAAAAAAAATTTAAAAAAATTGTATATTGTTGTTCTATTTGTCAAAGAGTTCCAGTAGCAGTCACCGAAGTACACCTTCAAGTCACTCCATCTAGTCCTTAGGTAAGGTCTTATCATAACTAACAAAACGAGACCAAACTCAACATACCTAGTTATACTGGTCTAGGAGTTCCATCAGCATTCATCGAAGTACACCTTCAGGTCACTCTATCAAGTCCGGAAGTAGGGTCTCTTCATAACTAACAAAACAAACCCAAATTTGGCACACCTAGTTCTACTCGTCGAGGAGTTCCAGTAGCATTCACCGAAGTACACCTTCGGTCACTTCTCAAATCCGGAGGAAAGGTGTCGAGATAACTATTAAAACGAGCCCAAACTCAGCACACCTATTTCTACTCCACGGGGAGTTCCAGTAGTCACTCCATAAAGCCCAAGACGTATTTAAGTATATTTATATATAAATCCTACTTACTTTTAGCGAATAAAACATTGTAATAAAAATCTGTGATTATAAAAATAATAATATCTTACCTTGTCAAGTAGGTTTTTCGAATATTTTGTATTTCTACAGCGATCGTTTTCGCTGCAAACAAGCAATATAATATGCACAAAGAGGCAAAAAGTATTTAGTAAAATAAAATTTTACAAGGCTGCTCAAAACACTGAAAATTTCGGGATTTTTCAGCCGAAAAAAATTTATTATAACTAAGCAAAACAAAATTAAACTGCCATTTACATTCTATGGCTCTCCACATGATAGATGACGATATTAAAAATAGATTGAGTTGAACAATTGATATTTTCAAAAGTTATCGTGTTAACCCCTCTATGTGGACTTGATAAATCCACACAATAAGTCACTAAAACCACGTTTTTATGTAAAAATAGCAATTAATTGATTTAAAAAAATAAAGTTCAAAAATCGTTTATGTTTCTGACAATGTGCTTTTTATATCATTTATATGTTCAATATGATTGTTAGATACGATTTTATGCGACAAAACGTTGGAATCTTAATTTTTAGGCGCTGTGGCCATAAATATTGCATACCTACGCTTCGTGCTTAAGGCATGCAATATTCATGGGCCGCAGTATCCATTTACCATCAGGTGAAATATGTGCTCGTTTGTCACTTTTAGTCCATTCATTAGAGTAAAACAATTAAAACTCAATCTTAGTTACAAGCTTACAAGTTTACAAAGCACTAATAGTGTTATCGACATTTAAAATAGAAAATGTATCTAACCTTTATTTTTTCAGCCTTCTGCCGGACCCAGCGTTGTTTAGCTACCTGCAATATGTGTAGCGTAATGAAGTGCAAAGCTGAATAAAGCGCAGCTAAATAAAAATAAAATGAACAAAATTTATGACATGAATTATTTTAAGAAACCTTTCTATTAATTATTCTTCTCGGTACAAAAGTTTGAAAAACTGACTGCTGTGTTTGTATCCATATGTATAAGTATTATGTACTTAGGTTTGTAATATTTTATTATTTTACAGTTGAAATCTATATCAAAAGAATATCCTACTAGAAAACTTAGGAAACTAAAAGTTATGATACTGTGACTGACACATTAGAACAGATGGAAACTATCACATAATAAAAATATACATATTAAACTACCCGTCCGGTTAAAGAATGGGATTGAAAATGGCATCGCCTCTATTTACCTCTCGCTCGCACACTGTCGCTCTATAGTATAGAGATTGAGTATAGATGAATATAGAGTCTATACTCATACCCGCTGAAAAAAAATACGTTGGGAAATGCGTTTTTCGTACATCCCGTACGAGGTCTTCTGAGAGTTTTCTATATAATTATTGTACATTTTGTTTGTTAATATTTTTGTATCAAATATTTACATGCTACTACTAATCTTCGGAATGGCTGAACCGAATGTAATAAAACTTCACGAACAAATAGAGAGTATTACAACATGAGTAAAGAAACCGTATCGTACAGAGGCCGGCCGCTAAGTGTTTGAGCTAATCTGTAAGTTGGTGAATCGATTTGGCTCACTATGGGACGTAGTGGAGCATTGAGCTTGTGCATTTTTGGTAACCTGATTCCTTCCAAGGATGATTCGCGAGGCTATTGAAATCAAAAAACATTATAATTTCAATAGAGAAGATGGCTGGGTGCTACGATCTGCTTGGGATCCTATAATTAATAAAATTAAATCCCAACCCAAGCATACACCTGCAAGACTTCAAGATACTGTTAGTTCATACTTCGTAGATCGGAACAAAAATTAATAATTTTAATCTGAAGGTAACCGTGCTTAACCATAACAGTGGGACGTCAAATACCTCAGTCCCCTCTCCCCCGTGACCATGGGTGCTGTAAAGTACTCGAAACGTCAGGAATATAAGTTAATATACGCGATAAAATCCGTAAAACTAGTTTTATTTAAATGTGTAGTGTTCGCGTAAATATAAGAAATCATCACTATTAGTATTTATTACAGATATAACACCCGTATTACCAGGAGTGATCTAGACTAAACTTTATCCGAAAAACATTTGAAACTTTATAATCATATTGTTAATTAGAAATATTGATAAGATAAAAACAATGGTCTTTAATGATTACCTTAAGTCTTAATAATGCCACATTAATAGAGCCCACCCATGTGAAGCCAAAGCAGGTCACTAGCTATAAATGTTAGTAATACTTGCGTATACAATTCTTTTCGAATATTTTCCCATTAATATAAAATTTCCAATTAATCGAATAATATACGTTATAACGATATATCGTTATTAGCGGGGTTTCGCTATAAGTAGCGGCACGAAAGTCTAGCGGTAACTGTTATTGCGCATAAGTCGCGCTGATTGTCTCGTGCGTATCGTTCGCACGCGCTGATTAGCTCGTGCGTATCTTTTGCACGCGCTGATTGGCTCTCCAGTCGCATTCGTGCAACTCAATTCGTGCGCGTTCCCTCCACGTTTTGTTCGGCGCTAGACTTACGTGCCGCGACTTGTACTGTGCATGTTGACGATACGGGCTCAATGAGCCGCCATTTCTAATCCCATTCTTTATCCGTACTGACTGTATATTCTTCCTCTTATTCTTCATAACCCGTAACAGTTCCTCGCTGGCCTCTTCTTCCCCAATAAGAATTTTTGCACTGCCGTCAAAAGTCTGTACTTCAATCGCAAATCCGCCAGCTAACGCTGTTATTATAGCCAATCATCTTCACTTGGGGTACTGTCCAAGCCTAGCAAAAAGGATCGCGGGCTGAAAATAACAAAAAGGAAGCAATAATTATAATATAACGTACTTGTTGCGCGGCAGCCATCTTGTCGTGTTGGTTGCGCAGCTCTAGTTTGTACCGTTCCTCGAGTGTTTGCACGGACCTCTTCCAACGTTCTTCTAGCGATCGTCTCTCGTCCACCAACTGCTCTATACGATGGTTTAACGTCTTCTTATCATTTATTAGCTGAAATAATAAGGAAACATTTGATGATATTTTCAGCTATGCAGAATTGGATCATAATAATAAAGGATAGGAATAGAATTGGGCTTACTGACAAATTCAGTCTCTAAATATTAATTATAGAGAGAGTGGTAGCTCAAGGGATGAGCTTATCTTAAAATAAAAAATTATAATTTCCTAATATGTGAGCAACTTCTGAGATTGTTAACTGCAATATTAAGTGCCAAATTAAGGTTTTTCTATTTAACATATTTCTTTAAGTTTTATAGGTTTTATAGGTTTACTAATACTAGGACCCCAGGAGAATCCCTCGCTGAGCATCCACGACCAAGCTGCTCCACTTCTGAGCGTGGATGCTCAGGCTGCCCCGCGCAAAATTCAACTCAAGACAACAACTGGTCGGGGTAAGCTGATCAACAAGACCAAGACGACCCCTGCCACGCTATCCGTGAATTTCTGCCACATCAGGGGACTTTACTCGAACCTAATCGCCATCCACTACCATTTCGAGACGGCAAAGTCGGCCTTGCTCTCTCTGACCGAGACGCAGGTGTCTTCTCCCGCTGATACTTTGTATTTCTCTTAACAGGGTACAAATTGGAACACTCCTTTGT